TGCAAGATCATGGCAAGATTATGATAGAATCTTGGCAAGATTGTGATAAGATCTTAGCAAGGACCATGGTGGGATCTTGGCAAGATCATCGTGGGATCTTGACAAGATCTTCCAAGATCATGGCAAGATCATGATAGGATATTGACGAGATTTTGACAAGATCTTGGCAAGATCATGGTGGAATCTTGGCAAGGTTATCCAAGATCATGGCAAGATTATGATAAAATTGTGACAAGATCTTAGCAAGAATCATGGTGGGATCATGGCAAGATCATGGTGGGATCTTGACAAGATCTTCCAAGATCATGGCAAGATTAAAATAGGATCTTGGCAAGATTTTGATACGATCTTGGTAAGATCATGGTGGAATCTTGCCAAGATTGTGCAAGATCATGGCAGGATTATGATAGAATCTTGGCAGGATTGTGATAAGATCTTGGCAAGGACCATGGTGGGATATATCTTGGCAAGATCATGGTGGGATCTTGACAAGATTTTCCAAGATCATGGCAAGATCATGATAGAGTATTGGCAATGTTGTGATATATGTGATTGGTTTGATCAAGGTTCATTATACATATACTAATGAAGGTCGAAAAATACAACTCAGCAAGAATTATGCATGACGAAAAATCATGAAAGATCTTGGCAAGATCTTGACAAGAATTTCAGACAATCTTGGCAAGATTTTGGCAAGTATGGCAAGATTGAATAATCTTGGCAAGATATTGGTAATATCTTGGCAAGATCTTGCCAAGATTAGTGTCTTGCCAAGACCTTGCCATGATCTTCCAAGATCATGCAAGATCTTACAAGATCTTGCCAAGATCTTCAACCTGGGATCTTCGGACTTTACATCATCTGTGGGCTTCATACCATCTGTGGGCTTTATACCATCTGTGGGCTTTATACCATCTGTGGGCTTCATACCATCTGTGGGCTTTACACCATCTTCATTACTTTCGGGTACTTTCAAGGATGTGATATTAAACGCATGTTCCTCACAATTCCAATCTAAACAACCATTCAATTTCATGATTTCAATGCTTTCTCCATCAATCGTCAAATTGAGAGTTCCCTTCAGAACAGCTTCGCTCAGTTGCACCAATGTTGTGGTGAGGTTTGCAGGCTTTGTTAAGGACAATGAACTGTTGTCAAAACCCTCGTATTTAAAACGATCTGCTACAAGTAATCGGATAGACATTGTATTGTTGTCATGTGCCATTTCGTTGTCATGTGCAGTCTCATTGTTTGCATAAGCAAACCAAGCCACGCCCTTGTCTTTCCACATTTGCTCCGAGGCTATCGCATCTACGATCTTTCCTGCAAGTCGTGATCTTGTAATTTCTCTATCATCTGGGACTGAGCGCTTTCTTCGTTTGAATAACTTAAAATCATCTAATTCTATAACGAGGTCAAGTTGAATTGGGAATGGAGAAACAAGATCTTCTAGCCAAGTCTTGATTCGTGTTGCAGTTTCTTTTAATATATGTTCCGCTGTTTTCGTGATTACATCAATTGCACCGTCGGTTATTGCATCAACTGCTTTCTCGATTTTTTCTTTTATATTTTCTGTGTATGACTGAACTGCGGTTTGAGTACATCCAGTCATTACTTGAAGCATACCTTCCAAACTGGACCAAAATGCATCAATGTAGGCAGATTTAATGGTCCAAAACACTGTCATCTGGTCTGCTATAGATAAATTACAGTACGATAGTGATGATTGATCAGGGTCTAGATAGCAAGGAGTGTGCGATTTGAAAGCTTCAGATTTAAGTTCTGCGCAGTTCTTTTCGTAAGTTGTGTCTATCAGTGGAACCAGTTTAACTTGAAGGCATTTCCTGACAGCATCGACCCACCTCTGTCCTTGTAGTGAAAAGTCTCTGTAGTTTTTATCATAAAGTTTACAAAACTTTTCAGCAAATGCAATGGCATAATCCTCGTCCTGACCTTCACAATTAGGATAGACTTTGTTAAGACAGTCTCTGTACCAATCACAGCTTCTTCCATCAGGACTGTGACACCATGCTGGTAGAGGAACTTTTTCAGTAGGCAGAGGTTCACCAGGGGAGCACTTGCAGTGGGGAAGAATAGCGCCGTAATTTTTGTCATACACATCAAGCATACATTGATAATAACAGTAAGGATATTTACAATAGTAATCACCTTTTGTTTTGGTTCTGATATATGCATCTGTACGACAGATAGCCCATTGGTACTCGTAGTAACGATCAAACTTTTCGCAATGTACAGTTCCAGCCGGACCAGACCAACGATCACAAGTACCGTTAACTGCTTCGGTGTGGCATACGTAGCATGCAGCTATGATGACCAAATACAGTGCGTTTAATGGCTGCCTCTTCATATTAGATGAGTACTATACTTCTCTTTCAACAAGTACAGCAAATATCTTGCAATAAGCCTTTACCGGTTTCTGAAAGAAACATAAATAATATGTTGCGGATTTATAGGGATTTAATAATATGTACATAACAATAGACTACAACTTCCCGATGAGGGCCCCTCAAGCATCAAAGCTCTTCAGTATTCGATACGAGAGCATGTTTAATGGTAGTGTTGAAATGTTGCTGGATTACAAGCATCTGTGACTGAACTTGACTGTCTACACGACGTATATATATATATATATATATTTGAAATACCGACGTTCAAAAGAACCAACAAGGTTGAGGATGTGGTCTAGTGAACATACTGTAAACTGCAGTTATTTATGGCTTGTTTTGCTGCATTGAACATCTGCAGTGTGGGCTACAATAAAACTAACTTTTAATAAAGTTGAAAAACTGCGTGTTTTTGAGGTGCACACATGCTACGCCACGTCTTGAAATTTTTATGCTGCTTATATACACGTCTCAAATACATAGACATGGTGCACCGTGTCTGTCGAAGCGAAACGGTTCATGCTATAGTCATCTTTTAATGCGAAATACTGTAAAAATTAGAAGACGTACCTGGCTTTAGTTTGAAGAATAACGGTCTGAGAAGCTAACATGCAGCGCAGTCTTCAAGTTGTAGCACCTATGGCTATTGGAAAGCTATTTGAGTTATTTGCACAGCACGATAAAATAATACGATAATTTAACTGATTTCTTGGTATTTTTCTTGGAGGACATGCATGATCACAGAAAACTGTATTATAGATTTATAGTTTAAGAATTTTAAAACCTGCATTGAGCAGTATGTTACACTCTTAAGTTGTTGTTTTGAAGTATACAATATAATATATATATATTATATATAATATGTATAGCTTTATAACCTTACTGTGTATAGTTGAAATTGTATGTTTGTCTTAAAAACGAAAGCGATCATGATCACTTATACTAAAGCAATTTACATTTTTTATGTTCAAAAATGCGTGCAGAGCTTTTGTAAAAAAAATATGACAGCATTAAATTGGATTGCTTTCTCAAACAGACATGTTTGCAAAAAAATTTCTATTTTTAACTTATATCATGAACTATACCGCATTATACAATAGTTAAAATGCATGTTTAATTTAATTTCGGGGTAAATGTATAGGCGATTAAGTTTTCAAAATAATATACCACTTTACACCCGTTTTCAAAATTACCCGACCTCCCTGAAAAATACTCCTACTTCAAATGTCAGTTTTATGTCACAAGAACTGCTAAAAATAGCAAACGTAAACAAACTGTCTAAAGACATTTTAAACCGTATTTAATACCAAAACTGAACAAAAATGAGTCAGATAACTTAGATATACAAACTAAAGCACAATGCAAACCATCACAACAGAAATATGTGCCGTGAATGACTTTTAAAGTTTGAAAAATAACAATTTATCCTGGAATATAGCTGTCAGTATAAAACACGCGCGCTAGACTATAACGGTGATGTTATGATTTTGTCGTGCTTAAATTTTACAATAATTCTCACTAAAATATCTTGAAAATCATTGTAAGTCTGTTTATATAAAGCATACAAAGCATATACATCGACAAGGAACCGCAAAACTCAAAGTTTGAACTTCGTGATCGAATGACATAAAACTGACATGTCAACTCTAGCATTTTCGCCCTTGGTCGCGTAATTTTGAAAACG